CCCCCCCCCCAGTTTCTTAATGAGAACGGGGTGAGAGACAGTGTCGAAGGCCTTCTGAAAGTCCAGGAAGGCCATGTCCACTGCTACCCCTGCATCTAAGGATTTGGTGATCTGGTCATAGAAGGCCATCAGGTTGGTCTGACAGGACCTGCCACTAATGAACCCTTGTTGGCTGCCCCTAAGCATAATCTCCCCTGCTGGCCCCTCGTGGATATGCGCCAGAATAATTTTCTCAAAAAGCTTGCCCAGGATCGAGGTAAGACTAACTGGCCTATAGTTTTCTGGTTCCTCCTTCCTCCCCTTTTTGAAGATGGGAACGACATTGGCCCTCTTCCAGTCCTCTGGCACCACACCAGAGCACCATGAGTGCTCATAAAGCCATGGAGTATGAGAAGGAGGAGGTGGCAGTACTGCAAATGATGTTTAACTGGGGATTACTGCTGGAACACTTCAGTAGGAGTAGGACACTACACTGTTCAGCAGCAAGCTGTGTTTCTGCTTTAACAGCAACAATGATAAGAAGATTCAACAGTTACTCAGGGGAATACACAAAGTGAAGCGAACAAGTGGAATTTGACCAGGCTTTGTTGACAAACCTGAGGAGGACCAGCAGAATCTGCACAGTGTGAGCCCATGAGCGCAACTTGGATTGGTGGGAGCAAATTGTTCTGCCCACTTGGAGCAACCAGCAGTGGCTGGAAATGTTCTGAATGAAAATGGAGATGTTCTACCATATCATAGTTTCATAGTTGACAGGGTCAGAAGGGACCTGAGCAGATCATCAAGTCCAACCCCCTGCCATGGCAGGAAAGAGTACTGGGGTCCAACGACGTCGGCAAAGTGTTTATCCAGTCTCATCTTAAAGAACCCCAGGGTAGGAGCCAGCACCACTTCTCTTTGGAAGTTGGTTCCAGATCCTAGCCACCCTGACCGTGAAGTAGCACCTCCTGATATCTAGCCTAAATCTACCGTCTGCCAGCTTGTAACCATTATTTCTTGTCACTCCTGGTTGTGCTTGTGGGAACAGGGACTCCCCCAGTGCCTGTTGGTCCCCTCTGACTAGTTTGTAACAGGCCACTAGATCCCTCCTCAGCCTTCTCTTGTGGAGCCTGAACAGGTTCAGGTCCCTTAACCTCTCCTTGTAGGGCTGTTGACCGCTGATCATGTGGGTGGCCCTCCTCTGGACCATCTCCATGTTGTCCACATCCCTGCTGAAGTGCAGCATCCAGAACTGGATGCAGTACTCCCAACTGTGGCCTGACCAGTGTTGCATGGGGGGGGAGGATCACCTACTTCGACCTGTTCGAGATGCATCTGTGGATACATGACAAGGTACAGTTAGCCTTCCTGACCGCTTCCCCACGCTGTTGACCCACATTCATTTTGGCATCAATAATGACTCTAAGATTCTTTTCTGCATTGATGAGAAGGGAGTTCCCCAGCCTGTAGGTATGGTGCTGGTTCTTCCTTCCCAGGTGCATCATCTTGCACTTGTCAGTGTTGAAACCCATCCTGTTCTCATCTGCCCACCCCTGTAACCTGTCTAGGTCTGATTGCAGCCTATTCCACCCTTTAAAATCTATGTCTGTCTACAGGGGCGTGCGGTGTTGTAGACAGGGGGCAGAAGGGGGGACAGTCGGGAACGGGGAGGAAATTGGGACTGGGCTAGGGGTTTGCTGCTTTTCTAGACTGAGTGGTTTGCAAGGAGGGGGGCATTATGCACCATCATCCACACGTGAATGAGCCACCTAGGGGGGGTGGGGAACAAGATGAACAGCAACCCACATTTTGAAAAACATTCCAAAAACATTTAGAAAACAATTCACAACACACCTCCAAAAGCTAGATGTGGCACTACACAAACAGTACTTGGGCAGGGAATGCGAGGGTACCGATGGGAAACTGGTTTGGGGGAGGGGGGCATTATGTACTGTCACCTACATCTGAATTAGCTCCCCCCCATTCTAGCTCTTGGCAGGCTAGGCAGGTGGGGGTGGGGGACAGCAACCCACATTTTGAAAATCACTCAAAAAACATTTATAAAACAATTGACAACAATTCACAACACACCTCCAAAAGCCATATGTGGCACTACACAAACAGATTGACGATGTACCTGGCCAGGGAATGGGAGGGTTTCCCATTGGAAACTGTACGAAGATCAATGAGGTCAGGAATGCTGGGAAATGCAGTCCAAAAAACCCCAAAAACCACAAAGACAGACTTGCTTGCCACCACCAACATAAACAGCAATCGGGTGGCAACAAACACCCACCCGCCCGCTACTCTTATGATATAGGTAGTTATTAAGCCATTATATTAATGAATGGGTGGAATGGGAAGGGAAAGGAATGAATGGGAGGGGAGGATTCACCCGCACAGCTTGTCTTTTGGGATGGGACAGGGTCCTTGTGATTGCATACTGATGGAGAGAGACCAGACTGAATGAGCATAGGTGCGTGCAATTGACAAGAATTTTGGGGTGACTGTGACTGTGCCCAGGGGAGACTCCCAGACAGTCAGGACTGCTCAGTGAGAGTCTGGGGGTGGGGTCTGGGGAGCCCAGGTGGTTCACATGCACTTCCTGCTGTAATACATGAGGAAAGACATTCTAGGGGGTAAATTGATATTTGACTTCGTCTACTGGCATATGCAAGGAATGACACAGGGTGACTTAACTTGCTCGAAAGCGCTGTTCATGCAAACACGAACACCGTGTCGTGCAAAAAAAAATACAATGCACCAAAAAAAAGCTGCATTAAAATTTTAGGGCTGTCTACATTAACTCCTATGTTGTCTACACATGCCCCTTGATGCCAAAGTAAAAAGAAAAAAAAATCCAGTGCTGCATATATTAAACTGATAGAAAGTCACCATGCAGTTTCTACAAAATAATAATTTAGGGTCTCATTCTTCACATGCTCTATGTGCAGAACTGTCCTGGAAATCAGTGGAAAGTAAAGCATTTTTTTTCCCCGTTAAAAATAATTAAACCTAATAGACCGAGATCTCCTGAAATGTCAGAATCATTTTCCTTTTAATTATGGTACTTCTACAGTTTTAAAAAAATCAATGAAAAAATAAATGCTCTGCAAGCTCTGTTACAAATAAAGTGGAGGTTCGTTTACTGAGTTAACACTTCCTTATCAGAATTGTTCATATCTGGATGTTTATTATTGTTAGCACCAGTCATGAATCCAGGCACCTCCTGTGCCTTCCAAACCTAGAAAACTGTAACCATGACAGAAAGGCAAATCACATCCTTGAGTTGGTGACAGTGTTTCTACCAGGAAAGAATTACTGACCTGGCATGTGAGCTATTTAAAAAATATGTCTGATTGCAGAATTATAGGATAGTCTGTTTTTGTAGTGGGGAAAAATGGATAATGTTTAAGGCAGAATTTAAAGAACATCATCTTGTTTTTCTCTATCAACTGCAGTTAATGTTAGAGAGAGAACCTGATGTTTAAAAGAATTTTTAGGACCTAATGATGCAGAAAGCACTGGGAATTAGGATTCAGATCTACAAATGACTTAGCTGTGGACATATACATTTTGGTCCCTTCCAACACTGTCTTGTGCATCATAATCAGTGGACACAGCTCCTGAGAAACTAGGTGCAGCAGGGAAGCAGAATGCAGCAGAAACTGTTGAGGGGCCACATGCAAAGCTGAACTGGTGATTTACAGCTAGGGTCAGGTCTGCAGAAGCTGTAGGGATGCAGCACTGTCTGGGCAAAAAGCCAGTACAGAGACAGTTTCAGTGAAACTCATCCTGGAAATGTATAAGCTCCTATTTGCCTTTAGCATAGACTGGAGTGGAGAGGGAACCCCTGACATTAAGCATTTCTTGGATTGCCTTTGTTCAACTCGCCAAATACTATGTGTAACTATTACCTTAAATTTACCTTAAGGCACTGGTGCTTGGGTTTTTGCAACCTCACAGGCCACATCCAGATGAGCGCAGATAGGTGGTATGGGGCACCGAAGACCCATCTGCAACACCACACATGCAGGTGTTCTGTAGCAGCACGGGGAGGGGGGATTTGACCCAGTGGTCAAAAAAGCCCATGCTGGAAAAAGTGGGGTGGCACATGTGGCAGCATGCTACCCCCTAAAACCAGTGACTGGCTGGCTGGAGTCCCCAGGACCCCAGGTTAGGCTGTTGGGGCCAGCATAGTTGCTGTCCCCAGCCTTCCCTTCCCCACCAAGGGTAACCTGCTACACACCAGAGCACGTGTGGCATGGTCGTTCCCTGGAGACAAGTAGTAGTGGCACAAGGTGTGCCACTGCTACTTGTTTCTGGGGAAACAAATGTCCGTGCAACCTTACAGGGCCTGTCCAGATGTGCCCATGCTGTCTGCCAGCCCTAGGAAAAGATTCTTTCAGTTTAAAACTCCCCAAGGGCTAATGCTTACAAGGCTTAGTGTCTGACATGCTTTCAGTGCTTGGTTGCTAAATCATGGTATGCCTAAAATGCTATTGGTACATTAGAATGTTGATGTACTGTGGCACTGAACAGCTAAATAATTACATACTTAACTTTCAGCCTTAGTTATCCGTAGCGTTAAATTGGTAAATATCTTAGTGAAGACCTTAAAGATCTTTCAATATAATGTTCCAAATAATGAATGGCATTGATAGCATTTCATTATGAGTAATTGTTACTACTTGGAGTTTTATGGAACTTTATTAACCTTTGGTGGTATATGAAGTTGAAGTATAATATACCCTAAAATATAAAATATACCCTAAAAAAAAAAAATCATTTTGTTTCCATCTTAAGAGTCAATATGTCCTCGTACTGTGAAGTATACATGCACAGACTTGTTTTTCCAAATCTGACCACTAGGAATGCAGCCGTAGAAAAACAGGCTCTAGAATGATTTTTGCAATTCCAGGTTAATATCAACAGAATTGCTTAGTAAAGTCCTCCATCCGTGCAGAAGGAAAAAGACTTTAACAAACATATAAAGAATTGCATAGTGACTGATAATTAGCTCTAACAAAAACTAGAGATGGAAGTGACCTATTATCTCATCTTGTCTCTCTTCTTTTGTCTATAGTTTTACCACTTCAAAGGACTCAGTTGATTGGGACTTCTTCCAGGCTGTTTTTGGAAGATTATTTAATACTGTAATAGTTTTCTGCACAAGTCCTTTTTTACCTGGGGACTTACGACATGCATATCTGTGGACTGGGGGAGAGGTCTGGGAACAGTTACTTCCCAACTGCCTCCTTGGATCCACCATAGTATCAGAAGACTTCGGAACCTGTAAGTACTTTCTAGCAGTCTTTGACTTTCTCATCAGGATACTTGTATTCACTACAGATGATATAAAAATGAGCTAATATGTCCGCTTCTGGGGTAGCATATTTTGAATACAGCAAAAGAACTCTCTTCTTGTATGTTTGGTTTGCCATACAGATTCCACTGGGCTCAGATTGGTGTCTCTTTATAAGTAGTGTTTCTTGGGATGCACAGGTAAAGTTGAAAAATGCCAGGGGTTTGATATTATAAAATAATGTTCGCACTTATAATACTCTTTTCACAAAAGTAGGAATCTCACATCTTATCTCTCTTCTTTTGTCTATAGCAAGGCTCTCACACTTGCTGACCACACAGTTGTTGACCATTGGACCATTAAATGAATGTGTGGCAGGGACCAAAGTCTGCTGATCAGTGGCCTGATCCATTATTCTTATTAACTCAGTGGCAAAACATATTGCCTTAAAGGATCATACCGAATCATTCCAACATAACCATGAAAAGGTGGAAGGAAACCCATCATAAATATATTTTCTATAATAATAGATTTTTATATGATTTTTCAAACCTTCATTTAGAGGCAGTCTCTTTAAACTCAATATAAGAACTGTTTTCATGAGTAGGAATTTGCCATCATATGGCCATTAGCTCTCATTTCTTGAACAGGACTGTATTAGCAGAGAAACATAAAGTATGATTATATGAGAAGCTGCAGTGTAGTGTAGAGATCTGAGACAGATTTAGACAGGATATGTCAAATACCAAAAGCAGTGTACCTGTGACAGAACAGAATTCCATCAATAAAAATTTACCCAGTTGAGAGGTTCAGGTGAGTGGTTCTCTTGAAGTCAATAGAACTGGTCATTGGATAGCATGGGGAGGATTAGTTTTGGACCATTTTTTTATCTCAGCATTATCAAAGTAAGAAATACGATTCCAGTGGCTGAGTCCAGCTAAGTTATAGTTTGCACGGGTTGTAGGAGAGGGAGAAGTTGGTTTGGCCTAGGTACATCAGAACAGCCTCCACCAGATTGCAAGAGCCCCCAGCAGTGTTATGATAACAGTGATTGTCTGAATGTGATGTGTTGTGGTTACATCCTTATCATGCCCCTATATATATTTAGTGTGGACAGAACAGACTTGACCTTGCTATCTCTGGGCCATTGGATGTTCCCTCATAGGAAGAATCCTTCATGTCCAAAGCCGCAGAAAATCTGTTTAGTCATTTTGCTACAGAACCATTTGGTACTATCTCTCCTGGATGTGTTGTTTAAGTTCTATGTTAGTTAACTCAGAACTTCATCCAAGTTGTGAGTAACTGGGTAGGCTGGGCCCCAGACCTACACAGTTTATCTCTGTTCATGGTTTATTGCATGCAGTACTTACAAATCTTAAAGGAATGACACAGTGAGTATAACTAAAGAGTGTGTTATCATCATCAGTTGGCTAATTATACCAGCTGGCAGAGGCTAAGTGCACATGGGTTACACATCCAAAAGTGTGACAGAAATGTTAAACATATGACAAAAGCTTTAAAAGATGTAATAGCTATAGTAATTAATCAGATTCTAATAATTGCATAAGAATTCTTATCACCAGTTACTACACAGATACCTATGCAGGTGTATTCTATTCATGGGCAGATCCAGGATTTCAGAAAGAAGGGTATGGGAGCAGCAACCTGTGCTATACCTGAGCTCCTCACTGAACAGGACTGGAACAAGCAGGAGCAGCTCTGGAGTTCCCTCCCACTCCCACCCGGAGGCAGCTGGAGACAGCAGTAGCAGTAGGCAGCAGAGGGGTGGAAGGGGAGGGGAGGTATTACTAACCATGGTGGGAAAGAAGAGAAAGGTGTGGGGTAGAATTCTTATTTGATTTGGGACTTAAAAAAAAGTCCCTGGCTGCTGCTTCTGTCATGTAGGAAACTGAAAGGGGATTGTTACTGTGCCACTGCACTTCCCTTAGCCCTATGGTCAGTCACTACTTTGGTATGTATACCAGTTATTTGTCTCCTTATTGTTGAACCTTCTTTCAAACCTCCCTATATTCCTGAAAGCTTTGTCACTTACCATCTTCCAGATGCAATCTGCAAATGTCTTAAAACTCCTAGCTCCTTATCTTTTTAGCAGCTTGACTGAGCCCAGCACTATCTTCCAGGAAAGGAAAAAGAAAAGGGGAACTTGTTTAGAAGTAGAGTCTGTTAAACTAAAGAGAATGAGGGTTGAAGTGGGAAGGAGGCCTGCTAGACGATGAGGCCTAGCAGGGGCATAGGGCTTCTAGTCTACCTAGCAATCCCAAGAACAGAAATTTGTTCACCTAAATGAGTTCAACCTATGCTCATGTATTTATTTGTATTAAAACCAACTATTCAGACATTATTCCTATGCCTTTTAATAGGAGATAGTCTGCTCAGTTCCTTTCCTCTTAAATATATTAGCTTTTCTGCATACCTAACATAATACAAACAAGCTAATTTAAAGCTGCCTGCGAAGATAATTTTTATATGAAGAGTGTAATAACAAATACAAACAATTGTGCTCAATATAACCTAGTGCTCTCTTGCTGTGCTGCTTATGCTTAATGTAACAGATCAGGCTTATCAGCTCTTGTTTGGCTTCTGACAGCAACTAGATTAATTAATGTAGTAGTTATGTATTGTGTGAGTTGAAAATGATTTGGACTGTGGAAAGTAAAGAATGCTTATATAATTACTGTGATATTAAGCAGAATGTAATGACAGGAAATAGGACACTGAATTCTCTGGGAGTTCCCTATACCACAACTGGTGGAATTCTTGCCCTTATTCCATTCCAAAGGCAGGGCAGAGATGCACATTATAGCCTAACTAAATCAGAGATGCCCAAGCTTGCTTCATCACAGGCTCACAAAAGCTTATGCATCTCTGATATAGTTATTCTATAAGGTACGTCACTACCCTGCCTTCTGCCTAACTTCAGACTAACACAGCTAAATACCATTCTCCTTATTCCATTCCTACATAAAAGGCCCTCTTGGAGTGGCAGGCCCATGCCCTGATTACCTCTGTATTGAAGCCCAGGTGGCTGGGCTGTGACCAGCACAGCTGCTGCTCCATGGATGGAGGAGCTGGGCCTCAGTTGAAGCACAGCACAGCACAGCAACTGCACATTGAAAGGAAGCCCAGAGGCCAGGAACATGATGGGATGCATCATGTGTTGGAACTAGAACCAGATGCACTCCTTGCCACCTGGAACACCCTGCTGTCACTGCCACCATCACCAGCCAGTAAGCCAGGGAAACTAGCCTGGGCCTGCCAGAGCCTAAAGCGGACTGAACCACAGGGCCACCCGGGCCCTAGACCTAAGACTTCCCAGAGAAAGCTGGGCACAGTTCCAGTGGTCCATCCAGGGAACAACCCAAACTGGAGCAGGAGAGCTCACTAGCTTGCGCCTGACTGGCATTTGTAAAGTCCCAGGTCAGATGGGGATGGAAGCAGCCTGACGGTATGCCCAACCTGCACTGTCAGGTGACATCCACTGTGTCTGGCTGTGAGTGGGCCCATCAAGGGCCATGTGGAAACACTGGGACCCTGGCCATGGGGCAGTAGGAAAAAGCCCCAGGGAAAAGGGGGCCAGATAGAGAAAAGGGAACGAGGATCGAAGAAGCAGACCCCTAAGTGGCTCAGTGCAGAGAGTGAGCAGCTCAGTGCTGGCCCAACAGTGTCCTGCCCACTGCTCAACTTGAGCCACATCGAGTTATGTTGTTTCCTTTTGTGTTAGCAATTTTTCTCCAAGTGTAACAAGGTCACAGCAAGCAACTGTGACACTGGAGTGTGATCCCAGCTGCACATCAAGCCACCTATGACAACGTCAAGGTGCAGCCTGCAATCTATAAGAACACCCGAATGGAAAGGGGTGGGGTGTAGGAGATGAGGAGCCTTGCAGAAGATGCACCGAAGAGGTGTTCCCAGAACTAGTAAGAGTCACTGAGCAACATCACAGAGGTATGGATAACACCCAAAGTTATGGTGGGTGAGTAGGCTCTGGGGCGGTCCTAGGTGGCAGGGCAAGGGCCTGCCACACTTGGTTATCTAAAGTAAAACTACAGTTCTTACATATCTTAGATGTAGCTTTTTTGCAAGAAATACTTTTACAGAAATACCCTGTATAAGGTAGAGCATTCCAAAATATAAATGTGAGCTCCACAACAACTAAACATGGCTGGGGACATGCCAAAGGCTCCCATGCCTTGTTTTTAAATGAAAAATGTAGCTTGAGACTCCAAGATATCCTTTTCTTTCATGTTCCATGCTTAAGGCCATAGCAACTAAAAAGCCTTGCTGCACTGAGACTTGCGATAAGCTCAGGGAATATTTAATAAGCCAGCATGCACTGATCACTGGGAATAGGTAGGAGTTTGAGAGCTCCAGTTTATATAACTAGGAAATGGTGCTAGTAGCGAGAAGATCAAACATTCTACTTATCTAAAGTTATGTTTGAAGTTTTGAAAAACTAAATCAATTCCTCTCCTATTGTAGTGCCTTCTTTGGCTCATTATCTTGAACAATGGCATTTGCCTGAATAAAAGATGTTCTATGGGAATAATTTTTATAGCAGTGTTGTATCATACAAGATGGTTTCACAACAACTATTCCACAAACACTGTATTAATTTGATTTCTAAGGTGTATGGAATGTGAATTTCAGGATTCTAATCTACCACTTGCTGGCTTGGTGCTTTAGCTCATTGCAGAGTGTATATTGTAACACATGCTTTAGGTAAAACTGTTACCCTCTTCTGTGCCCTACATTAGCATTGGGAAAGGAACTCTCTCATGAAGTCTAGGCAGTAGCATCATCTCACGGCAAATGTTCTGATCAGGTATATAAACCTAACAGTTCCATGCCTGAAATCAACACGTAGCATCAACCTGCTTGGAAGTCAGGCTTTTGAGAGTCAGAATACAAACATCAAATGGGTACAAAGGGGAAGCTCTTAAAGGGCTGATGCAAGTGGGTTACCATGG